GTGCTTCATCAGCTTCTTTTCTCTGGCTATAGCAGCCAGATGACTGACAGGTGAATGCGGAAGTGATGTAATACACATCACTTCTGCATTCACAGCCCGGACGGAGATCAGCAAGGAGCTGATCTCCCGTCCTCCTCCTCCTGACGCCCCCTGGGATTCAAGGTGAGGGGTCAGGGGGGGAAGAAACGCGAACGAGCACATATAGACGATCAGCTGGCTATGGAGCCGCTGATCGCCTATATGTGAAACACCCGGTAACGGGTGTGTGCAATGGTCAGGTCTTTTCTGCCCATGCGTGCCCGCTAGGGGGCGCGCGCGAGCAGAAAAAAAAATGCCGTCTAGCGACGGCAACCAGCAAATGCTGCAGTGCCGTTCGTCCGTTTTTTTACTACGGGTGTACGGCAAGAGGTTAAAGGATGGTTGAAAGAAAAAAAAAAGAAAAATTAGATACTTACATGGTAAGCACTGCTTCCACCTCCACTGCCTCCACCATAACCATACTGGCTGGATGCCCATTGGGCTGGTGTCGCATTGGGATTTTGCCCGTGTCCAGTAACAGCAGCAATAGCATTGAACATCTGGGAGGTCATGTTTTGTGGAAGAGCATTCACAGCACGAGTCAGATCTGAAAACAAAAACAAATAATTAGTCTAAACAGCTAAGGAAACAAGTTTAAATTAAGAAATTAAAGTTGGTCACTTACCTGCAAGATTAATATTGGCAGGGGTGGCACTCATGGAGGCCGGAGTTCTAGTTCTACTGCTACTACTAGGGGTAATACCTGTCAGATACAGAAGTTACATGTCACAATGTGTCTACTTATAGTAATTGCGGAGCAAGAGTGGGGATAGCACGAAGTTAAAAAAAAATCATAGCCAGTTTGAGAAATCAGTCACATATTTTCCATTCCTGCTACATAATCATAATAATCACAATACTAACAGACCACAAATCAGTCACCTGGTACAGGTTCTTGGTAGTGATCTTTAAACCATCGGAATAGGCCATTGACTGTAGGGAATATCTGTCCTCTGTATCTGAAACCTTCTGGTGTTACAGTGACGTACTCAACCCTAGAATAGAACACATTGGATGAAAGGATTAGGTTTATAATCAATTAAAGAAGGGGCCTCTTAGGCTGGCATCAGCAGCCATAGTACTCACCTTGGCTTAGCTCGGGGCTGATATCCTAGCAAAAATTTGCCTGGGAGCTCTTTATTGGCAGAGATGAAGTATGGAATGAATGTAGGCTTTTCCTTCTTTGTTTTTATCAATAATTCCTCTAATTTCTGGGTATGGACAAAGAAAATAGGAACAGATAAATGAGCATTGATATACCAGACTAGAAGACAAGACAACCAATTCTAGCCAGCAACAGACTATGCTTGAGGGATTGTTTTATTTTTTAAATGAAGCACAAGTATACAAAACAAACAAAAATAAACCCCCAAACCACACAGGTTTTCCTCTTGCATACATTTATACTGTATATGACTTATAATTTTTAGCACCTGCGTTTTAGTTCATTTTTGGCACACATCATGAGTTTACATAACACATGTAACCCTATCAAATGTCATTATAACACGCATCATAGGGTAAAAAATTAACATTCACTTTTTTTTTGCCCAATGCATGTTACATTGCGATAAACCTCTGCACTTGTGTTAGTGGACTTTAAAACATACAGGTGCGTACGGAACCCTCGCGTGGTTATATTCCAGAGTACAGTAAAGCTGACTAAAGACACAATAAATGGCAGTCAGACATGTACGCATGATCGGACCACCAAACGATGTTTCTTCTAAAAGACTTACAAACAATCCTATCGTCCGCCTTTAAATTACTAATCCCCACCTCATTGTAGCGGAGGCCAAAAGAAGTACAAATGTTTGAAGTCCAGGCTGTGCGACAACCATGGCTCCCTTCATAGATACAGTGTGGTGGGTTAGCATAGGCACCCTATTGAGAAAGCTGGTTGGATGACCAATGAAATGTCTTCAAAAAAAAAATAAAGCAAGTCCAGTTGCCTTGACTTATGTTTTACAGATATACCATGACCTGGATGAATGAGAACCTTCACAGACATAGCCACCCTAGGTTTATGTGTAAAACTCAGGATTACCAGGGGGAAAAACATGAAAACAAAACTAATACAGCCACAACATTCAAGAATTGGAAAGCTGCAGTGTATTACAGTTGAGGGTTTAGATGGCCTTTAAGTGCTAGATTTTTTGGAGGGAAAATGTAGCCTGCTATTGGCCATTTCAAATTGTAATAGCCAATAGCAGGCTGGCTATTGCACCAACCCACTGCTTGCTGTGCTCTCCTTCCAGTGTGGAGTTGACAACTATTCTCATTATCGATTATCATCAATTAATCGATTAGTTGGTTGCAGCCCTAAACACAAACGTTTATTTTCAATACTTTAAAACGTAGATCCTTTTGGTTTCATTTATGAATTATACTTTCAAAATTAACCTACAGATAAAGTGTATCCAAAAGGCAAAGGTTTCTTGTTCGATTAATTTGGGTAATGCTTAAAACCCGTAATATCCCATCCGATATATTTCCCACCATTTCCTGTCCTGTAGACACAACAGGAAGTGAGAGGTAATCTCTCCATGGTGAGGTAAATCCACTCTTGCCGCTTAAACTAAATGTCCCTTTTGGAAGATTTTCCCTCTCTTCATGTTCTGATGAAAACTTAAACTTTTGGATTGTCCATCACTTTTAGCCCTAGTGACAGTGGTCACCAGGGAAAATAGAAAGGGTGAATATCTACAATGATGATACAAGCAGCAGTAAAAAAAAAAAACAAAAAAAAAAAAAACAGGGGGATCTGGCCCCCTCAACAATAACAAAATATAAAAAAAAAAAGGTTTGTGGATTTAGAAACACTTTAAATATCTCCCTCTGAAACAAACCACATTTGTATACAATGATATGAGACTATTCATAAATGTTCTAGTCTATTGTAAAATCTCGGTAAGATTAGGAGTGTAACTGTAATCTGTCCCTACTACACAATTAGGCGTGCAATGTTAAGACCTAAATTCTAGGGCTATTACCGATTAAAATTTTCGTGTTCGATTAATCGAAATTCTTTTTAAATCGATTAATTTTCAATTAATTATAACGCACATACAGACCCAACTACATTGGCCTATACACATACAGCACAGCAATGAAGTAATAAAATGAACTAGGATCACACTAATCCAGCACGTTATTAATCTCACGTGCCCCACTCAATATGGCCGCCGCTTGAGTGGGGCAACTGAGAATAATGACGTGCTGGATTAGTGGGATCCTAGTTCATTTTATTACTTCATTGCTGTGCTGTATGTGTATAGGCCAATGCCTTGGCTGGCGATCGTGCAGAAAGTTAAAAAAAATTTGTAATGGATCAAAAAATTTGTAATGGATCAAAAAGATGAACGATTAATCGAGAAATTAATCGTTAATTTACACAGCCCTACTAAATTCAAATGCACAGACACACTAACCTTTTTATCACCACAATTGCAGTCTTGGTAATATTTGTGGTTTATAAGATCTCTTGCAAAAGATGCCATGGGCTGCACGAATCGAGCAATAATTTCATCTAAGTCCTCAAACTCCTACAAGAAAAGAAATTGGTTAAACAAACAGAAAAGACCGTGAGCGTATACATAACCTTTTCTATACCATTTAGGAGGAATTCTAAAACTACGTATGCTTTGCGATGGCATTCATTCAAAAGCACATTTAACAACTCTGACAGCAGTAGGTTGAACAGTGTCATTGTTCTAGCACATATGTTTCTGCAAGCATGTCAGTTTGCCAAATAAAACGGCACAGACCACTACTGAGAGAACAAAACAGAGCTCAGCTGAACGTTCCATCTCCAAGCAGTATCTCTCTAACTAAACAGTCTAACCTTGTTATCAATAAAAGTAAAGCCAACTTAAATGTAACTTTATGGGTTTTGCAGTGCTCTTTTCCCCATACCTCAGTGTTAATCCAGAGCGTTGATCCCAGACTGAAGGCGTTCTCCTTCCCCTCTTCTCGTACATCCACGTGTTGATAAATACCTTCGCTGACCTTCCATGTGACTGTTAGATGATTCTCCCCTTTACTGCTTGGTCGAATAATCACATCTCCCTGGTCCATTGTCTCCATCATCTTTTCAGCTTGCTTGAAGTTAATATTGTGGAAAGAAGGATGTGCAATGACACGTTTTATGTAAGCTGAAATGCACAAGAATTTCAGATTAGTACCGTATATACTCGAGTATAAGCCGTCCCGAATATAAGCCGAGGTACCTAATTTTACCCAAAAAAACTGGGAAAAAGTATTGACCCGAATATAAGCCGAGGGTGGGAAATGAGGCAGCTACTGGTAGATAGATACCAATAAAATTACATTAATATTTATTTAAAAGAAAAATAACCTAGCTCTGTAAGTGGAAAAGGGGGTACAGGGCTACATATCATGTACTACGGATCATTTAACCCATTCATATTAGCAGAGGATAATTGTAAATCTATTGTTCAGTGCACTCTATATGTAGTATATAGTACATGTACATATAGAGTGCCTGCAACAATACATTTACAATGATCCTCTGCTAACATGAATGGGTTATTTCCGGGGCTGGCACATGACACCACCATTTGAAAAATATTTCCCTATCTCTACGTACTCCACATAATAGAGTCATTAGGATAATCAGTGCACTGAAAGATGCTCACCCAAAAAATGAAAATAAACAGAAGATAAAGCAGAGTTGAAAGCGGAGTGCATGTATGTGTGTGAGTGTAATAAGAAATAGAGCCGAGAGACCTTGACGCTGTGGACTGGATGGTACCTGCATGGGATATCATTTTCTGTTGTTATGTGTGCACCCCTCTGAAGTGGCTGCCCCTCTGTTAGGTCAAGAGGGGAGGGAAGGGCAAAAAGGATTAGTGCACTTAGTTTTAAAGTGTACTTATCGTTAAAATATGTTCAAACCTGCATACTTGCCAGGAAAGCTATCCAGATACTAAAAAATTCAAACATGGAAAATTGTTTTGAAAAACTAAGCTAGATCAGAGAAGCTCTATAGAAAGAATGTCAAACTAATTAGGCACAACAGTTCCAATGGGCATGAAATGCAGTGCCCCTTTCTTAGTGTCCAAACTTCTACAGGCAGGGTATGTAAACTATAATATTGCTACATCACAGAATAATAGGAGACATAAGCACACATGGAAATAACACCTAATAAAAACACACAAACAACTACCACCAATCAAATTCACAATCCTCAACTATGGCTTCATGTCCACCAACTCTATTCCAGTGGGACAGCAGCCAGAAGCTTACTCACTTGTACGCTGCTGTTTCTTCTTCAGCTCTTCATCTTGTTTGAGATGTTCAGCCTCTGTATCAAAGTCATAGTAAGTGTCCTTTGGCAACTTCCACTCATTGTTTTTGTCCATCAAGTCTGAGGTTCTGCATGTCATGTCCACACTAAATTTTTCAATGTTTACTTTCATTATCCGACAATGGACAGTCATGCCCACCTACAGTAGAAAGGTGTAACCAAAATCAGACTTGTCCTTTAACTCAACCCATAATGGCCATCACAACACCAGTCTCTCTACAATACTGTCACATACCTTTACTCTTTCTTCAGGCCGTTTCACTACTTTATCACTAATAAACTTGGTTGGAATGAAGCCACTCACACCATTGTCTAGCCTGGCTTTAACACCGACAGCCTGACCAGGGCAAGAGCCGCTGTCAAAATGATTCCACACCTACAAAAAAAATTGATCACCTGATTATTACATAAAATATGACCAAAACACATTACCTTTATTTTTCTAGACCGTATACCTCACTAAGCTCTGGGAAGTTATCTTGTTGGCAAAATGGACACTGCCAAAGCCCCGTCTCATCATTCCTTATAGCTTGGTCGTAACTTTCTCCTAGGGGTCGTCTATGCGCAATACCAGTAACGCAGCAAGTGATCAATTTACCTGAAAAACAAAACAAAAAAGGATTCGTAATATGGCTCAGGAGAAGAAAGCATGTCAGTTGGCCAATTACATTTTAACAAACAAGACAATAAAAGAAAGAAAATCAATTTCCAAAATGAAATCTTTCCAAATGTGCCACGTAAACAGGAAAAAAGCTAATCACCTATATAAAACGTCTCTGGTGTTTCTCTAGTCAGCATGTTAAAGACCTCTTCAGGGTTAGCTGACCTGTAAGTTGTTCGAAGATCTTTGTACCTGCAGCTTAGCTCAGCTCGAATATCATACAATGTGATATGTTTATCACCATAGCCCTAAAGGGGAGAAGAGAAGTTTGTCGTTAGGGTTTACATATGCTTTATATTACAGAGAGAAGAAAAAAGTAAGGAAAATAGAGTGGAGAAAATGTACCTGTCTCTCAAGTTCTTCAGCAAAAGCATCCAAGTCCAGGTCCTTCAGCCTCTCTGGATTTTCTAAAATCTCTTCCAGGGCTCCTGCAGGATTGGCATCTTCAGCAGACTCATCGTACTCTAAAGCATCAACCGCCATTTTGCGTGCCCACTCATAGGTTTCCGGGTGCACTCGTGAGCCATCCAATACTTCAATATAGGAATCCGTACTATATGAAGAAAATGCTACAATATTAGAACGTTACAGGAAATGTACCAATCCTATATATTATCTCAGTCCCAAATAAGGAATTGTGCTTGCAAAAGATGACATTCCTGTTTGATAGCAAGACAAGACTACTACTCTAGATCAGGAATAGATAAAGGCTACCAGAACAGTCTAAATTGCAAAAACATCACTGGCTCAACTGGAATTAAAAGACTAATGGCTTGAAGGTCAGGATAAGTTGGAAAATAACACTGGACTTCCTAAAGACAGATGTTGTAGGTACACTAAACCTTTTAATATTGAGGAAATTGCAATAATAAAAATATGGCTGCCATGCTCAAAGAACAGATTTGGAATAATAGAATAAAAAACAACGATTAAACAGGGTTTAGCTTTTACCCATTCTGCATCTAACTGCAAGAACTTGTTCTCATTATGCTGTTTAATTTCTTTGTGCAGCATTGCACACACTGACTAAGAAGACGACGACTCATTCATTTACAGTTTATATATACTTTAAACCGCTTTACTGCCAAAAAAATAAAAGTACAAACCTATCACCAAGAGAGTTTGTGTCAATTTTGATGAAACCAGCACAGTTGATAAAAACTTTGGGACCCATATGACACATTGTAACCAGCTGAGTACGATTTTCTAGACGTGTATTGTTTTGCTTGAGAATCTATAACAATAGAAAAAAAATGAAGCCATAAGGACATTAAACAAAGCAAAATAAATGCAATTTTTCAGAGTACTGCATTTGCTATTGAATGCGATTTCTCTCAACATCTTGAAACCATTAATAAATTCAACTTTTTCTAAACAGTCATGAAGGATTGTACTTGCCTTCAACAAATGAGCGCCTTTACGTGGTCCAAGGCCACACACATACTGGATCAGGGACTGTGTGTATGGATGAGCAATAGCTCTGTTAACATCCACTCCCACCTCATTTACTCTATTGATGAATTCAAAATACAGGGCATTTAACAGTTCCTCTTTTACTACTTGATCCTGGGTGGAAAGAAACAAAAATAAAAAGATAAGCTAAGCTATTACATTCAAAAGGCAAAAAAAACAGGCTGGCAGTAGAGGTATACATTACCTGCAATGGGTGGAGTTTAAGACATAGGATGTCGTCATCAGTGCTGCAAACCTGGGAAAATTCAATCAGGGGGTCCTGGATACGGCGAGCAATAGAAACTGCCTGGCGTAAAACTGGGGGATAGTCCCGGAAATCACTCTGCGAGATAAGGCAGTGAAAAAAAAAACCTGAGCATTGAACTTAAAAACCTAATCTTATGTCTGTAATCAAAAATAAATAAATAAACCATGCTATAAAATGTAGCAGCCAAACATAGCTACTAATTATCTACTTGAAATGATGTAGCTAAAAGCAATCAAAATGGTTTTGCCAAGGTCTCAGGTTTCATACTTACCTCTGATTTTTTACTGTTCATATACAAAACAGCCAGCTCATTATCAATCATCTCCACCCCAATAGAAGACATCTGTTGTGCTTGCTCTAGCTCATGAACAATGCGTTTAATATCGTCAATCATCATTTGTGCATCTCTGGAGAAAAGAAACAACAAATTCAACAGAAGTCTTAATCTCAGCTATCAAAGTTAAACCAATGTGAGAACCAAGACATCAAACTTTTGTAAATCAGAATACAAAAAGGGATACAGTTGCAAATCAAGACCAAGTAAAGAAACGTCATTCAAAATGTTAGGAGACCCAGTCATGGGAAGGAAGGTGTTCACAGCAGACCGTGGAGCCCCAGTTCCCCCATGTATTCACACAGTAAATCTCTAGATTTGGGCTCTGGTGTGACACTGGGTTGAGCCAGAGAGAAAAATACTGTAGTCCAGAAAGAACAGTCCCAAGCTGAGCTCTGGAATTCATGAATCTTAAGAGAAGGTCCCACCTCCTGAGCATAGTGGTATAGCCCACAGCAGAAGGGGCAACCTTTTTGCATTTTGCTTTGTAGTAGTATCGCCATAGGAGATTAAACACTGTGATCTGCTGGCTCCCCTATTAAAAAGAGAGAAATTCGCAGTCAAAGAGTAAATTTAAATAAAAGGCAATCTTACCGATTCTCACTGGCAATGGCAACAACATGAGGTTTCTTGCTGATCAAAAATTTTTTTAGATTCTCCATGTCCTGTACCTGCCAGATGTAAGAGATACCATCATTAGTAGAAAAAGTCTGCAAATGTTTGTGCATAATGAATTCCTAATAGGGTCCACAATACCTTACGCTCTCTCTCCTCCTCCCTCCAAGCATTCTTTCTGTTCGTAAAGTATGGCAAACGCAGGAAGTCAGTGACCTCACCTTCCCCATTAATTAAAGAGCAAAAAACAGGATTGTCTCTGGAAAACATACATAAAAGAGTAAGGCAACGGTGAACCGGACCAAAATAAAATACGAAGGAGAGAAAGAATGCAAAGAACAGTTCCATAACAAACAAACATACAGTACCTTGCTGAAGAATAAGCTATGCCCAGTACACGGATTCCTTTGGCTTGGTTATCCTCCATAAAATCATCATCTTCCTCCACTTGTTGATCTGGCCGGTATGGGGCCACCTTCAACCAGTTGTACATTTTACGGCTGCATGCCTAATATAATGAAAACTAAATATTACACAAAGAGAACAATCATATGCCTGTCAAAGATAATATTTAGAAACCATGATTAGGTATTTTCATTTCTAGGTCAATCTAATACTAGAAAATGTATTACAGTTGGCCTTACTCACCTTAATAACATATTCTTTGGCCTCAAGGAGAAGCTTACTTTTCAACTCTTTGCCCATTTGAAGGTAGAGGAACTGCTTTAGGGACCTTTCAATAGCCAGTGTGCGCTGCCTGTTCCACTCCTGCACTTGGTGGCTGAACTCATCTCTGTAGTAGAATTGCTTGATCTCCTCAAAATAGGTCTGTTCATTTCCAAAGCTGTGGCATACGGAAGAAAATAAAAATAATTTACTTGCAGCAACAAATATTAAATTACATTCTATCTGTATAATCTGTATATATATTTTCTTCTTTCAAATGCCTTGATTACATTGTTCCTCATGTTTACATACAGATGAACTTGTCTTGCAAAAGTAAAAAAGGACAAAGGAAAGGGATGAGCTAACACTACCATAGAAAGGTTGCTTTTTATTTAAAATTACATTTTTATTCTAACAAAAAAAAAAGACTGCAACTGGTCAAGCCCCGATACAATATTCATTATAGTGGTAAAATCCATCCAAAATGTGTGTTTACTACATCAAGGGGCTATTAGGTTATCTATGTACTGTATTTCATTTCCAATTACACATTCATATTTAAAAAAAGAAACCATGGCAAATGTTCTTCCCCACACACACACACATTTGTGTTGGGAGGAGCCGCTGCAAATCAAAGCCATCTACAGAAGAGCAAACTTCAGTATCTTATGCCTAGATGGCTTTGCACACATGCGGGTTGATTTAATAAAGGCAATTAGGCTGTTCACTTCGCAATGGAAGTTTCCCTTAGCTTCGTGAAACTTCACTTTGTAAAGAATACCCAATCATATGCAAGATAAACAAAAAAATATAAAAATTGTTCTTGAACATGATTGGGTGACGGAAGTCAGCAGGGCTTCCCGCCATTCACTACACTAAGGGCAAATTTCCCCAGCCAAGTGCAAATTGCCTTGCAAAGTGAACAGTCTTTAGTAAATCAACCACATGTTCTCAAGCAGGTATAAAGGTGGCCATACACTGTACAACCATCGCAAGACCTTAGTCTTGCAATGGTTGTAAAGTACTTTAAAAAACGTACGATCTGCCCATCTTGGACAGGCAGATCGTGCTTGCGATCATCGCAAGCCCGCCCCCTTGATTTCACGCGATTCTCGTACGAGAATCGTGCAGTGTATGGGCACCTTAAGTGCAGTGTGTACAGAAAGCTTTTTATAAAGTGTTCAGCAAGCTTTGGGGAGCTCAGCTGAAGCTTATAACAACATTTAGCTCCAGTTTGATTATACACAGATTGAATGAGTGTAGCTTTTCCCTTTAAATAAGTTGCTTGCAGGCTTCAGCATTCAGTGCTTCATGTAGTGCTGAAGGATGCCAGCAAGTCTTTTTAAGCAATAGCCAGCATTCCCATTTAGATGTGTTTCATTACTTCAAACTGGAACTGAAGATTGCGTTAGAATCCTTCAAAACGTTTCTGGAAGCTCACTGACAGCTTTGCAAGTGGTTTGAAAAACCTTGCTGTACATTCTGCTGTCCTAAACATCAAAGGTTGTACATGCAAAAAATAAGAAAAGAAAATGACTATTGCCCAAGCTCCTACAACCAAGTTGTGTGCCAGGAAAAACATTTGGCTTCAATGAAGCAACAGAATCAGTCACTACAGCAAACAATATTCCACACTTACCCCTCCACATCCTTCATATCAATGCTGATCTCAATGGTAATCAAACCCTCCTCTTCAGCAATGCACATCTTGAGAAACTGATCATCCCGAAGCTCCTTCACAAGTTTATTTTTCAGATATTTGAAAGCATACGTATAATGGGCTTCATCTACTTCCTGCACATATAAAAAACAGAATGAACATTAACCAAAGCTATGCTGTGTACCCTAGTGAACATAAAGAAAGCCAACATCTTCTTTGCAAGCAACGTGGTCAAAAAGCAAACACTTGCCTTTCTGCCTTTCTTGGTTGGCACGATGTTGATTTTGCCCCGTTCCTGGAAGGTCTGTCTCAGGACTTGTCTAACCAGCGGCTCTCTAGCAATCTGCAGTGCCACCATATAACGGGCTCCTTCGAGAACTGCCTCAGGCGTTGTGAATTGACTATAACAAAAAGGTATAATATGAAAAGAGTACGTTTCACGTAGACATGGATAAACAAACTTCATTTATACTGGAGTTCTGCCAAATGTCTATGCCTAGACGGTTTTAAATATTGTTTCCCTTCCAAATTCTTACAATCGGTTTTATGTGTGGTATTGGTATAGTGACAACAATAGGAAACCTAATAAGCAACTGTGAATTTCTGATCTGATGTCATTGTGCTTTGACCATGAGGAACACGCAATAAACAGATGTTTAATCACTTGTAAAACAAAAGCTTGAACTAACCTGCACACATAATCTTTGGCAAGCTCTAAAGGCTCAGCTGGAAATTGCTCAGTCTCATGCCTCTGGTAACTGTCTCGCAAGTTTTCTCCAAACTGCTCTGGTGTCAGACCAAACTTCTTTGCCAAGCCATCTGTGAGATTTCATAAGACAAATTGGACTCCATTAATTATGAGAATCTGGACTTTGGTAAATGGCATCCTAAAACCAGGGATGCGGATATTTGATACACAAGTATCTGTTAAAAGGAGACCTATGAGGCGGGTGATTTTCACTCAACCTCATAGTTCGAGCCGACGTGTGACAATGAAACTGTCACAGGTAGGCTCAATAGATCGGGAGGTGAGCGAACACATACCGTCGCTCGCTCACTTCTCGATCATCTCCCTGCAGAGAGCTGTGAACGTCACTCACAGCTCCCTGTAGGAATCCCCCCTCTCCCCTCCCCGATCCTCCAGCGCTGAGTGGAGGAACGGACGGGGGAGGTGCAGGTACAGCTGGCTCTGCCTCTATATAGGCAGAGCCAGCTGCCACTCACGCAGCTGGGTGGATCTCGACAGTAATGTCACGATCCGTCCCGGCTGCGGCGGTCTCAGTATACCGCAAGCTGGAGCTCGTGATATACTGAGCTTTGGGTCACGGGAGGACGCTAGTATATGTCCTCCCGTGACCCTTAGGAGAACTATAGGGAAAAACACTTACCCCATAGTTCTCCTTTAAAGCAAGGCTAAAAGCCTCGATAGTGGCTAGAACAAGATAGGTTTCTTATTACACAAGCGACAGCATGGTAGCCTATTAATTAGCACTGAGGCTTTGCACATATAATCCTGGGTTAAATTCTTATTAAAGTTCTGTGTGTGTGGAGTCTGAAAGTCAACTAGGACTGCACAGATTTCATCTTGTTGCTCAGGGTTTTTACCATAACCTAAAAATACAGTGGTAACCTAAATGGCTTACACCTGTGGGAATTTACTAAATCTTTTTTCCAGGATCTTCACACAATAGGTTGTGTGAATATTGACTTCTTATATCCAGTCATGTCGTAAATGTGTATTCAATTGGATGAAATAAGTGTACAGGAATTTGTTTTTCACATGATTGGAAAGACTAGGTGCCTTCAAGGTCAGTGCATTAAAACAATAAATACAACATTAAAGGCATAAAAAGGTTGTGATATGCTTTATATTAAATGAGGATACTTACCAAGACCAGCTCCTTGACAGATAGAATACATGTCTCTACGGGAAGCCTGCTTTAACTCTGGTCCCTTCTGCTCCTCCTCTTGTTCTACAGGCTCAGCCCCTGGAAATCATTTAAAGCAATTAAAAAACAAATGAAAATATTTAACAGTTACAATGGAGAGTCAAAGGCTAGGACAATTAATAAAGAAAATAATCTATATTTGCCCTAGATCATATTTGCTTTTTTTGCACGTGGAGCGGAAACACAATGGAAGTCTTCAGCTGCCTTGTTAAGGTTAATGTCTGGGCTTCTGATGCCTAGCCCCACTTTTAAAGGTGGCTATGTGGCTTCCCCACATATTTGCAAATGTAACTAAAACCTCCGTTTATAATTTGAGTAGTTAAACAGATTAGTTTGTTTTTGTTGCTGGCTAGCCTGAAAATATGCATTGGACACTTCTGTTCCATTTTCAACAATGAAGTGCACTTCTTACTGATTCTATTATCTGAAACTGAAGCTGGGTATACACGGTAACATTTTCTTTGTTCACCCTGCAGGCTGAACAAAGAAAACATAACAGATTCCTTGTAAGTGAGGGTGAAGGAATCCACTGCTGTTTGCATTGTATTCTGAATGTGGCCACCAGCTACTGTCAGAATACCTGAACGGAGCTTGCAGCTGATAAGCTGTCAGCTCCATTTGGCCAAGTATTTTCCAGCGAGCTCCTTCGATCAGCTGATTGAGGGATGCTGAACAGAAAGGTGCTGATGTTTAGATGCCGATGCTGACAATCAGCGGAAAGTTGTTGACAATGAAAGGTGCTAGTTCATCAAGAACTGGCCAAAATTTGCACTGTGTATAGTATCTTCCAGATTACAATATTGTTAAACCACGTTTTTGTTCCTTAAAGTGACATTAAACCCTCACATTTTTTAACATAAAACAATACTGTAATGTGCGCCTTACTGTAATCCATGGTTGTTTCCCTTCTCTTTGCTGCTTTTCCTTTTAAATCCTCATGTCTTCTCATGCTTGGGGAGAACTTCCCTTTGCAGCCGAGTGCCTCTTCCTGTAGTGCTGGCTCAGGTTACAAACCTATACACAGACACCGTGTATCCATTCCTGAGACAAGGCAGTCTGCTGCAAAACAGAAGTACTGCCCAGCATGAGAACAGATACAGATTTAAAAGGAAGAGCAGCAAAGAGAAGGGAAACAACCATGGATTACAGTAAGGCCCCGTTCACATGGAGCGATTTATCGCGCGGTAATTCCCGCGATATCGCAGCTACTTACCGCGCGATATCGCTCTTCAATGCATCTCAATGGGGCAAAGGGTCCTGCTGTCGCGGGTCGCTACAGCAGGACACTTTTTGGAGCGGATTTTGCCGCGATTCTCGCTTGCTCAATGCAAGCATTTGCGCGATATCGCGCAAAATGCAAATCGCGTGACAAACGCGCGATTTGCGAATCGCACAATGTGAACGGGGCCTAAGGCGCACATTACAGTATTGTTTTATGTTAAAAAATCTGAGGGTTTAATGACACTTTAAGTGTGTTTAAATCTTTATTGTTCTGTACTGTTGTACCTGTACTATGAAATAGACGTAATGGTACAGTGGCCCTTGGATTCTTATCATATACAGACCTTCCTCCTCGCCTTCTTCAGGGATGCGTTTCAACTTCTTCTGGCTGGACTTGGCTGCATTTTGCATTTTCGGAATGTCTCTCCCATAGTACAATAAGAAATGGTTATACACATCCTTTAATTCATCCATTGACCGGACATCTTTCAGCCTACACAAATAAGTAACATTATTATTATACAGGATTTATATAGCACCAACAGTTTGCGCAGCGCTTTACAATATAAGGACAATACCATTCAAGACAAGATGGTAAGGAAGGCCCTGCCCATGAGGTCTTACCTAAAATCACAACTATGCTTTACATTTTTAATAGGAACTGAATAAAACTATTCCACACTAACAGACTACAAGCAAGTCTCTGAACCTCCACCTTTGTGCTATGAGGGAGCAGCAGCAGTTCACATTGAAAACCAAACTCCAGAGTCGATGCAAAGTATAAAAAAAAATTAGCTTGCAGCATGCTGTCTCTTGCACATAACACCGAGCTTCCAAGGGAGAGCGAGATGCGACAAGTGAAATGCTCCAGCCGCATCAGCAGCCCCCTTGGCCATTCACAAAATGCCGGGCATCATCATCATCAAAGAATACAATGCATCCTCTAATTGGAAGAGAAGAGGAGGGGGCAGGGATGCAACATTTCTCCTCCAATCCCAGAATGCCTTGTGTTTTTGGGGAAAAAAATGCCAGACCAAGTGGTGAGGAGGGAGGGCTGGGTGATGCGACTGGAGAAATACAATACTTGAGTCGCATCTCACTCCCCACCAGAAGCTCGATGTTATGTGCAGGAGATGGCATGCTGTAAGGCAAATAAAGAAAAGGAAAGTTCCGTAAATAAAATTAGCATCTACCAGTTACCTGTCCATGTCTGCCATATCCAGAGGTCTTATCTCATCAGAAAGTGGCTTATCCGGATCTGCAGCAATCTGCTCATACTGATAGGCCTGCATCTTCTCAAACAGGCGCATCAGATTCTGCTTTCTCAATCGAAGTTGGGTCCACTAAAGAAAAAAAAAAAATTGTTAGCTGTACAAGTTGTCACTGAGTTTGAAATGTAACCGTGTCACTGTGTTTGAAACTGAACAGATTTGCAGCAGAAATAATTGTTTGAGTGGCACGTTAACATGCTGGATCACCCTGTAATCACTATAATTAAAGCTTTTAAATTAGGGCTGCAACAACTAATCGGCATAATCGATTATAATCGATTATTGAAAAAGTTGTCAACTTTTTCAATAATCGATTAATCGGCTTCCGATCAGTTGTCCCTGTTCACAGCTGTGCTTCGCACCTCCTCCCCACCTCTGCCAGACCCGCCCGCAATAAGCATCAGGAGTAAAACTGAAATTACATTAGCTATAAAACAACTGTTAAGTGATCTGGTACACCATAAAGTGTCGGAACTCATCTTCCACTTTACAGAACTGCTGAAGCTTGGGTTTTGGGAATAAGGGACGGCCTTATTCACACAGATGTAGGTTTTTCGAATTAAAGGAACGGTTGGTGATGAGAGCGTCTTTAAACAGTCTAGCAGCATTAGAGGAATCAGTCAAAACCCAAGTACAGCTCTGAATACGATCAGCAAGCTATATAAAGCTGGCCACAGACCTTACAACCCTCGCAAGACTTTTGTCTTGCGAGGGTTTTAAGGTAATTTAAAAAAACGTACGATCTGCCTATCTTGGACAGGCAGATCGTACTTGCGATAATCGCAAGCCCGCCCCGCTGAGGGGCGGGCTTCCGATGACCGCAATGCTGAACGGGCAGTGTGCGCTTGCGCACACCGGCCCGTGCGGCATTTATCTTGCGAACATACCACACACCCGCCGACAATCGTACGATTCTCGGCGGGTTTTCGAACATGTTCCTAAGATAAAATTCGTGCGACCGTACAGTAGAAACGGTCGCACGCCTTCAACACACCTTGCGATAATCATACGATTATCGCAAGGTGTGTGGGCACCTTAAAACAAATCTGATTATCGACCGTACAGTAGAAACCGTACAGTACAGTAGAAACGGTCGCACGCCTTCAACACACCTTGAGATAATCATACGATTATCGCAAGGTGTGTGGGCACCTTAAAACAAATCTGATTATCAAGGTATAAAAATGTACCTTCTCATCCCATTGCCAGACACGCCACAAATCATTAATATTGAGCTCTGGTTCCACGTATTCTTTTCTGTAGAATGCAATAAAAGGAACCTGGAACAAAAAGTCACACTATTAATATGAGAAAGTATCTGCCAGCTCAGCAAAAAATAATGCAATAGGTATGGCATCATTCAAATAATTAGATTCGTCACAAGCTTTGGTGACCTGTAAAGAACCTGAGCAAAAGGCAATATGATCTAAAATTACACTAATGATAGGGGTTGCTTTATAAAACTTTGGCACAGTCATACATTGGGCTAAATCTGTTCCTATGCTCCTCGGCCCCATCTAATGGCGGGAATGCCGTGCGAACGGCATTCGCTCATCATGTGGCTGAACAAAAGTTTTATAAATCAGACACAATGTCAGTAACACCCTTTTTTTTTAACCACTGGCTTTTTTCATCCTAAATTCCCTTATGTGCCAAGAGAAGTTTTTTTTTAATTTTGTCAATATCTCAGTTCTCCAAGTTATTATGTTTTAGTTTTTAGTCTACCCTGATGTACTGTACATCTTTTTTGGGACAGATAGCGTTTTAATTTAAAAGCAAGTTTGGATTTCCTGGTTTTTACTGGCAATAGTAAACTGCTTTTTCATGTAATGTTTTCCAACGTAATGTTTGCATAATTTGCTCAAGCCCGCATATTTACCCCAAAATATAATCAACAAAGTCTGAGATTTTTAAAGTAACATAGCAGAACGATAAAGCTAAAAGTGAACGTGTGTAGGGCTGCAGCTAACGATTATTTTCATAATCGATTAGTTGGCCGATTATTAAGTTCGATCGGTTAATCGGATAAAAAAAAAAAAGGCTCCAGTGATTGACGACTAGTTTGTAACACTGATCCTAGTGTAACAATAGGATCAGTTTAAGTTGGGTTGACGAGTTTAAATTCATGAATTAGCACAAAGGCTCCTTTTTCACGTTTGCTTTCGTAAAAGATTCAAATGTCATTGCATTCACTTATGTTAACATTTGATGCTTGCGCAGTGAACACAAATGTAAACCAGATCGTTCCATGTCATTGTTGTGGCCTGGGATTATTTTCATTTTTAGAATATACTATAATTAGGGATGCACCAAAATTAAATTTGTAAAACTGAAAATACATTTCTCAGGCTGAAACCAAAAATAACTTTTCCTAACCTTTAAAAAAAAGTTTAAATTATTTTAATTTTTTTACTTTACTGTCAGGGGCTTTGGGGAAATATTTAGGTGTCTAAACATGAGTTACTATGTCCACAATCATGAATGAACAGGAAGTGATATAGAGCACTTCCTGTTCATTCATAACTTGGGACACAGTAAGCATATGATGACTTCAGGTATTGAAGCTTCCATACTGGCAGGAAGTGCCGTGATGTCACTACACTCCCGATGTAAAAACAGAAGTGTACAGTAGTGTTTACATTTACTTCCACAGTGCACTCTTTAGCAAGCTGTGGAAGCATCAGAAGCTGAGGGACCGATCTTTCAGCTCCTGGGCTTAGCACTGGCCCTGAGCTCTCTCAGAAAAGCCAGTGGTTCTATTGCTAGTACTGACAAAGGTTCGTAGGAGCCGCTGAGACCGGTCTACGCTTTTAAAACAGTGGCTGGGACCCAAGTGGTTAACTAAGTAATCAGTGAGGGATAATACTACACGTCATAAAGTTTTCATGTGGAGATCCTAGAAATGGATCCTTGACATTATAAAAGATTTTTTTTTTAAATACATAAGCATTGCTTCTCGTAAGCAATTTGCACATCTTAAACATGTAAAAGCAGACGGTCAAGCACACCAAGCTGGTTTAGTTAAGAGCAGGTCACATACCTCAAAGTGCTGATTCCTCATGAAATTAAGTGCTTCTCTGATTTTCTGTATAGTACTGGGTCCTTTGCGACTAAAACTGGCACCAACTTGTCCACGTTCCAGGTAATCCCAGCTCTCCTGTTATAGGAAACACATTTTAATTTCAGGGAAAGAAAAGCTACACTATTACTTTTGGTAGTTCAGAAAAAAGAAGTTAGACACATAATGCATCTGGAGCTCCAGCTGTTTTTCTTGTTGTACATGTTTTGGATAAAAACATTTTTTAAAAGGTTTTCGTTTTGTTTTTAAAACTTAAAAAAATGTTTACAAATATTTTAGTTTTATAATTTAAAGTATTTGTATTTTTTTACTTTACGGTCGGGGGCTCTGGGAAATATCAGGGGTCTAATCAGACCCCTGATATTTCCCTTTAAAAAAAAAAAAAAAGAAGAAGAAAGAGATTGAAGACAGTCCACACATTCCTAAATCTTTTTTTATGCAGCTCCTGTTATGAATGAACAGGAAGCCTTTATACGGAGTGATCCTGTTCATTCATAACCTGCGCAGACAGTATTTTTACTATGTCCACAAACAGGAAGTCATGTACAGCACTTCCTGTTCATTCATAATTAAGGACGCAGTTAACATACTAGATCATCAATTTTGTTTTACAAACAGTCAGCAATCAGCCGATCGCTGACTGCTTGTAACCGTTCTCCATCCTGACTATCACAGGAGTCTGAGCCGGTGGAGTGAGGAGAGCTCGGGTCTTCTTTGACAGCTGTCTTCAACCCCACACCACTCTCCATCCTGATCTGTCACAGGAGGCCAGGCAGGGCGGTGCGGGAGGAGAGCTCAGCATCCGGTGACACGCCGCTTACAGCGCTGCGCTGTGATAGAGCAGTGCACCGCTGGGAGGAGAGAAACTAGAGATGCACAACAATTTTGGCCAAAAGATGGTACTTCCGGTATTTCGGCCAAAGTACCAATTTCAGCCGATATGTTTCGTCGGCCGAAATTTCAGTGCATACTACCACTGAAACTGATTAAAATAAGCCAAACAGGAAGCAAAGAAGGGAGAGTGGTATAAAAAGTCTCAAAAAAGCACAGCAAGTGAACAAAGGTTGATTGCGATGATGGTAATTCAAAGGCAGGTGTGTTACCTGTTGAGAGATTGTTGGTGTAGAAAAAGCATTTCTGTAAATCCATTCAGCCTCTTCTTCGAGCTCATCCTCTTCAGCAGCTTTAACAGGAATGGTACGTAGCTACAAAACACAAATTACATTATTAAACAGATTTCTTGAGCTACCTAGTTAGGAAAAATTAAACAACCACAGGAATTACTATCACTTGCCAGTAACACAAAGTCAATATGCGATATATTAGAATGCCTATGCCATCTATGTTTTTGATTTAAAACATATAGATGTTAAATGGAGCCCAAAATGGTTTTGTATGTCAATTAATTACATTATTTATTATGGCCAAGTGTAACAAATAACTTTCACAATTGTACTTGTTTTAGCCAGGTTTAATGGAAAAATGGTACTCAATTCAAGTACTGTTCTCAAAGAGGTCATCAGGGGACACAGTGGACCTCTGGGACATAGGCACTGTAGTTAGGAGGATGGGCCCTATGCAAGAACAGGCAAGCGTTTGCCTCTCCAGTTTTAGGCTTAACCCCTATGCACAAGAACCATGAACTCTGGAGTAATGGCAATACTAAAAAAACAAAATAATTACTAAAATGTTATCCCAAAACCACAGGAAACGTAATCGGCCAAAACGTAGAACACCAAGGCCTATGTTCCTGAATTTGTTCTTTAAGAAAGGATTTTAGGGTGAAATAATCAAAATCATATGTCAAAAGGAAGTCCCACTAAAAAAATAGCAAATGGGTAGATAAACAAAAATAAAATTTAGGATTTTTGTACTCACTGTAAAATCCTTTGTTTAGAGTTCATCAAGCACAAAAATTATTTAACCTTCTGTGTTATAATGCTGCTTACCCATGGATTGGATATTGGCAAACAAACTGCAGGCTAGTCCAAGACAACCCCTCCCACTACCAGCATGTCTCAGTACTAAAAGCATGATAAAAACACAGAGGGGTGGGACTTAAGTCCCTCAATGGACTGCAAGAAAAGTATTTTACGGTGAGTAGACAAATTCCTTTTTTCTTTCTTGACTTTTGAGGGACACAGGAAATCTTCAACCTTCGGAACATCCAAATGCAGTACAACTGAGGGGCGTGCAACACTGTAGATAAATACTAACAGGCACGGGAAAACAGTAGAGAACTGGGGAATGTCTGTAGTTTAAAGAGCCACCTGAACCAGAAGCTGGCATCAGATGAAGAACGTGCAAATGGAAGACGAGATTTGCCGCCTGAAAAGTTGATTGATGCCAAAAAGGCCAAGAAGCATTCACAGATCTAGTAGAGTGCAGCTTGACAGGTAAGGATGGAACCAGGGTGGACAGGAGAGAACCGTGGATGTTATGTTACACTAACCAGCACCTTGGCTGTTAAAAGGACAGCGGGAGAGAAGAATACAGCAAGCAGTATGTACCTGGAATCTTTCTGGAAGATCTGTTGTTCGGATCTCGTTATCTTGATCGGTCAGGTGACTACTCTCCAGTTCACTGGGTTCATAGATTTCAAAAATGCTTCGCCTGCTCACGCGTTTCTTAGCAGTCTTCTTGGGACGGACACGCGTTTCTCCTTCTGCTTCATCATCTTCATATTCATATTCTTCCATCTCTTCATCCTCCTCATTGTACTTTTCAATATCGTCAAAATCAAAGTCCACACCGAAGATCTCCTGGGCTTCCTGCAAAGCCCTGAAAATGTAATAAACACAATAGTCAAAGCACAGACAAAAGGAAGGTATACGTCCTGAAAGAAACACATTGAAGATTTTTGGAAAAATATAAAGAGCCAACATCATATTTTTTTAAAAAGCTGATTGGGAAGGCAAATCATTTTGTAGGGACAGTCTACAATAACTAACCGACTTGCATTTTGTTTCTTTTTTAACAACATGGCACAATTGGCTACATTTATGGAAAACAAAACACATTCGCTTTGGACATAGAAGGCCAAAAAAAAACCTGACAAAACACTTTATTTAAAAAAAAATTTTTTTTAAACTTTATATGATGGCAAGTTTTGAATAAACTCCAAAAGAAACATGAGGGTTTCCTTTTAACAATGCTAATGGAAGTTATGATGACCCATTGTCTCCCTGATGTGGAACCAATATGTACATCAGGAAAGTCAGATGTCCTTATTCATATATTGTTCCAGATCAGTGATCTGTACTGGAGCAAAAAGGTCAGCATAAACAGCCATGCAACAAGCTTTTTCAGGAGAGGTCAGGAATGACAGACTCCATGTTGCTCTTATGACAGGTTTCCTTTACAAATGTGGCTAGAATGGGATTTCTAGTTTTAGCTGCTTTGAAATACGTTTGTTAGGGTTTTCACTAGAGGTGCACCGAAACGGAATTTTAAAACAAAAACAAAAAAAATTGTTGTTAGGCCGAAACCGAAAAGGTTTTCATTTTAATTTTTTTAATACTTAATTTTTATTTATAAACGTTTTAATTTTTTTTATATTTATGTTTATTCATTTTTTATTAAATTTGTTTATTTTTTACATTACTTTTAGGGGCTTGGGGGAAATATTAGGGGTCTAAGCAGACCCCTGATATTTCCCTTTTAAAATAGAAAAAGAGATTTAGGACACAAAGTCCTCAATCCCTTTTTCTGTTTCCCCTGTTACAAATGAACAGGAATCCTCTATGAGTGTTCCTGTTCATTGATAACATGACATGGTATGTTTACTATAACCACAATCATGAATGAACAGGAGGGGATGTAGATCGCTTCCCATTCATTCATAATTGGGGACACAGTAAACATACTATGTCCTCAATTATCTACAAACACTCAGCGATCACTGAGTGTTTGTACCGCTCTCCTCTCTGACACGCTGTCACAGGAGGCTGAGCGAGCGATGTAGGGAGGAGAGCTCAGGCTCCTGTGACAGCGCGGGCTGTCTCCGCCCACACACCGCTCTGCCGGACTGTGATAGGAGGCTGAGCGGTGTGGGAGGAGAGACGCCGGCCGCTCAGAGCGTTCTCCTCCCGCAGCGCTCGGACGACTATCAGAGTTTCTCTCCTCCCTGCTGGGACACAGAGCAGGGAGGAAAGAAAGCAGTGATGTGTCGATGTATCGGCAGGAAAATGGCACTTTCGGCATTATGCCAAAAGTGGCATTGTCGGCCGATATATTTTCACTTCAGCTAGACTTTTTAGAAGCGTTGAACATGTTTCATCACTCGATCCAAATGGCTTCCTACGTTCAAATGAGTATCTGAATTAAACCTCAGAATTAAACCTCTAGGACTCATAAATCTCAGAATATCCATACTCCCTCCTTTACAGCTCCCAAGAATCCGTGCTCTAATTTCAGATCTTGCTGATTGCACCACTTCCTCGTGCAAGCCAGGATAATTGAACAGCAGTAAAATAAAAATAGTTCTTAACTAAACATTGTATTAAGAAATACTTTTTTCCACTCTTCTGTGCAACATGCCATGGCAAGAAAAAAAAACAACAAAAAAAAGGGGCTTCCGTTATCAATTAAGAAATCACTTGGGATGCCCCCATGCTTTGGTTATACCACTCAAGGAGTGAGAGACTGAACAAGTATGCAGCCAGCAAAGTCAGAAGCCCCAAGTTGCACACTTGTTTTGAGTCAGTATCTCACCAAGTAGTCAGAAGGATAAGGATGTTAACACAAAAATGTTTAAGTTGTAAAGGTTGGCAAATGGCTGACCGTTTAACAATGTGTTATGCAACAGTGAAGATACATAAAACTAGGGGGACAAATGTAATTGTTTCTATTACTTAGTGTCTTTTGATCAAAAGGTGGCATTTCAGAATTACATTTCCATCATACATAGGAAATGTAACTTTTTTGGGGGGGGGTAGAGTAAGGGAGGGTTACAACCCCTGTCAGTTTTTATTTGCCGTCTGTGTCGTATTGGGGAGATTTCCCTTCACTTCCTCTATGATAGCAACAACAGGAAAAGAGAAGTCATCCCTCCAAAGTGAGGGAAAACCCTGGTGGTCAGCAAAACTAGTGTCCCCATTCATCTATTCCTGTTCTGGTGTCAATCCAAAATCTGTGATTTGCTTTCACTTTCAGTGATAACGGTCGCCAGGACAGACAGAGGGTGAATCTCCCAAACAGGGACACGTACAGCAATAAAAACAGGTCTTCAAATCCCTCTCCACTATCCAAAAAAAATAAAAAGTTTGGGCTTCAGTTGCACTTGAAGTACTACGGACAAGCAGATCTGCATCACCAAAGCAATCCCTTTATAACATTACAGATTGTAGTGCCGTAACTTACGCATCAGTATATCCTGGAAGCTTCTTTCTCCATTTAGGTTTCTTTAATGGTTGCCCATCATCATCAACAATGAAGTCATCGATGTCTGCAAAGCAAAGAACATAATATCAAGTTTGCTCTTTATTACACTTTTGACTTGAACCATTACCATTAGGTGCTTTTAAATGGTCCTACCAGACTCTTCGTCATCCTCCTCTTCCTCCCCATCACCATCAATAACTGGTTGGTCACCATGTGAATCATGCCTATCCTCATCTTCTCCATCCTGAAAGATTTCGTCAGCAATGGCTTCTTTCTCATGCTCTTCCTTCCCAGCATCTTCCTCCTCATCCTCATCCTCGGACATCTTTCGCACACGCCTGAACTTTTGCTGTATTGATAGAGAGCCATGTAAATACAAATCTTGTATAGAAATTAACTGCCAATATCTGAGAGAAATAAAAAAAATAAAAAAAAAGAGAAGATGTCCCAAGTAAATAAAATGATACTTGTGTTACTTACACGTTTGACTTTAACACCCAAGTTCTCCTCAATTAGATCGAAATCATCGTCTTCCAGTCTGTCATCAAACGCTGCAAGTTCACAGGGAGAAAGTGATGTTGATGACAATGTAACCATGAATGACTTTACATCATGCCTTTATTTTTTATTTTTTTAAATAATGACTTACATCTCTTTTTTGGCTTGTGACCGACGTCATCCTCCGACGCATCAGAACCGCTTCTGTCCTCCTCCTCTTCTTCCTCGTCTTCATCATCATCATCGTTAATAAAACCTTTCAAATTTCCTTGTTCATCCTGATCCTCTGGGTTTTCCTCCTCCTCATCTATTTACAAAACCAAAATTATGAAATAATAGCCGCCATTAAAAAGGGTTATTATTAGGGATGTCCCGATACCGATACTAGTATTGGTGCTTTTACCGGGCATTTTCATGAGTATTTGTACTTGTGAAAATGCCCAGATTCTTAAGGCCAATACCAGCCCTTTCAATTTTTCATCTGCAGTGGCCATGCTTGTGGGAACTTCAGGCAGCATGCTAGGGGGCCTGGCAGTAGCTGTGTCCTTATCTATATCTCCTCCTCGGTGCAGGCACAGCCATGGACAGCCCCACAAAGCACACTACAGCCCTGGAGCTGGCACCTGCCCGTTCAACTATCCACCCACCATTTCAGGCTGGTGTTCTATCACTTCTCTGACTGGCACCCGCCCGATCAGCATAGCCACTGCCCGCAGAACCCTGGAGAGATCCATTTGCCACCTGGTGAGATCGCAGCCTGGTGAGATTTGTATTCAGCCCTGGCGAGAAACTGCCCTTAAATCATTAGTCTGTATTGTTTTAGAAAAATAGGATTTTGTACTCACCGTAAAATCCTTTTCTCTCCGTTCATTGAAGGACACAGGCAACAGATCGTAGATCCTGAATGGTAGGGTAATATCGCCACCTGCAGGAGAAGGACGCTAGGCACAAAACTAAAGACCAATTACAGCCTAGGGGCGGCCCCTGCCGGTGGCCAAACCCCCCACCTGCTGACAAGTCTCCAGTTTAGTAACAAGCAGTTAGGAGTGTACACCCCATAAAGAGGGCGGGGCCTGTGTCCTTCAATGAACGGAGAGAAAAGGATTTTACGGTGAGTACAAAAAGACTTGTCAGCAGGTGGGGGGTTTGGCCACCGGCAGGGGCCGCCCCTAGGCTGTAATTGGTCTTTAGTTTTGTGCCTAGCGTCCTTCTCCTGCAGGTGGCGATATTACCCTACCATTCAGGATCTACGATCTGTTGCCTGTGTCCTTCAATGAACGGGAGAGAAAAAATGTCTCATGTCCCTTTAAGAAAAAGTATCGGATGGGTAATTGGTAGCGGCATGTACTTGAGGGGAAAGTACTTGTACTTGGTTTTGAATACATGGTATCGGGACAGCCCTAATTATTATGATCATGTTTACCTAAAAGGCAGTTACATATTTGTACTCAGTTGCTATATCGCAGATTCATAATTCCCATGCAGTTTGTAACCTTCCATCCAGTAACTCTTTGGCTATATGTCAATCAACCCAGTCAACAACATTGTTAAGCAAACGCTGCATGAGAATCCATGAGAGAAAAAACACCCAAAGAGGTTCTTCAAAGAGAACTATGGCCTAACCTTTTTTGGCATTAGTTCTCTTTTGAGTCACAGGATATTTACTAATGTTCTCCTGCGACCCAAAATAGTGTAATAGCAGGCTATTGTCAGGATCCACCCTGCTGCCTGATTGACATCTGGTTCTGCCCCTCTGGAGCCAGGGCCAGCTGTACCCCCCCCCCCCCATCTGTCCCTCCAGTCAGCACTGACAATCATCCTCTCTCTGCAGGAAGACGTTCTAGCGCTATAGAGCCAACGTGTGACAGCTGCAGTGTCACACGTCGGCTCCAACTTCGGTTTCACTCTCCCCATAGTTCTCCTTTAACACATTTAGTGCCTGTGTCTATGGGCTTTTTGTTTGAAATGGGTTTGGCTGCACAGACACTAGTACAGTCAGTTGTAGGGTCTCTGTGTGACTGATCTTGCTTATAAGCACTCTGTGGAACTCAGAAGCACAGAAAAGCAGAACAGGGCATGGCAGCTTGTGAGAGATTATGGAGCGCAACAGTTATTCCACATCACATACTGTATATACACAAAGTAGAAAAATATCTATCATTTCACGTACAAATAATTGTAACAATTAACAACCTGCATCCACTCTCAACATTACCCTGTTAATGGATAAACGATAGTCGAGTACTGAAACTCACCATCATCCTCCTCCTCTACAAACTTCTTAGTGGTCCTCTGTACCACCTCTCCATCCTCATTGTACTCCTCCTCAGACTCCTCCGCTTCACTCTCCACGAAACCAGACATGGTTATTTCAGCAGTTGCTGTTTCTCTAAAAAAAAAAAAATTAAACATTGAGAATGAGTCTCCCTCAAATGTAACGCTCTGCTTCATGCCAATCATGGACGCCATGCATACATAGGTGGACATCACACACCATTAACAGATTATAGTACATTTATATTCAAAGAGAAGTGAAAGATAGGCTATTAATAGTGGTTAAAGTGACATTACCACCCACGCG